GTCGCGCGCGGAACCGAAGTATCGCTCGATAGCGAATCGATTAATCCAATTAGATGGTCCACGATCAACCGATTCGTCGCGACCAGAATTTCGGAAGGCGCACTGCTGCCGCGATGCCGGTACGCGCGATCCTTCTCGAGAGCGGCGATCCGCGCGATATGGAAGGAAACTGGCGGCCGATCTAACGGTTCGGCAACCGACCGCTTTATATACGCGTATTTCGGATAATCGAGTGGGACTTTTCCTCGTGGCCGAAAACGACGCGTGCCGGACCGGTCGGACAACGAACTCGATCCGCGCGCGGGGTTTCTCGAATTATCTGTCGCGTTTGAAGTTGGCAAAATTAATGCGAAAACGTAGTCGGATTACCAAGGAAAAAATGATTAATACCGCTTTAAACGCGAATATCGTTGCCGTAGCGTGTACCGACTAAATCAGATTCATTAAGGATAAAATTATTTCATGGATACATTTTCAACGAATTTGAACGTAACGGTCAAAGCGTAAAATTAGATACAGTGGATGAAAATGCGTTATACCACCGTTCCGTTTCGCATTACCATTATTATTATCGCAATTGTCGGGCAAAGGGGAAAGCGGATTCGCTCGTTTAGGCTAAAGGCACAAAACGCGAGCAAATATCCTCGACATCGGGACAGGTCCACTCGAAAAAGGCAGAATCGGAGAGCGTTCATGGGTAATTTCATCGACGAGCTAGCGGCAACACGCGCAGCTGCTCGACTCGCCTCGACTCGATTCGACCGAACTCGACTCGACTGGATTCGATTCGATTCGAGTCGACTCGCGGCAACTCGGGGCCCACCTGTTTCGAGCGAGAGCCGGCCAACCGGTCGCTCCTTTATCCTGGTAGGGGTACGGACCTTCTCGGCTACCTAGTTACCGTCGATAGGATCTTTCGAATCGCGCAGCGTCCCGTCCTTTCGTATCGCCTCTCGTCTCCCCTCTCGTCTCCCCTCTCCCAGCCGTTCTTTCTCCAAGTTTCTCTCCCTTTCCTCCGTTGTCCTCTTCGTGTCTCGCTGAACGCGGCTCGCCGAGGTTCGCTGAATCGCGATAGACTCGATTCCGCGAGCATTCGTGTCAAGCTTCAACCGGAAACGAGTAAATCGGAGCAAAAGTCGTGGAACGCGCGCAAAGTATCGCCTCCGTTCGGAAGCTCTGCTCGGAGATGCGTTCGCGTTTGCCGTTTCTGCGAGTAGAAAAGAAAGGTTGTTCCGTCGTCGAGAGAAGGATTCCTTCGCGTTCGCTGGATCTCTCTCGATTAACTGTAAACGACCCCTACTCTCCCTACTTTTCCGTTCTAGTCGTTCGTTCCTCGCGTTGCGCCACGTCGCGCCGATTCGAAACGCGAACGACTCTCGTAACGCGGTCAATTACGAGTAATTAGTTTTCTTCGGTATTCGCCGTTATCCGTCGCCGATCGTTTCTCGTTCCGTCGTCGGCGACTCCGCTGACATTTCGTTAGCCGGTGATCGCGATTGCCGATTCGAGAGGCACTTTCGCGGACGAAACGTCGAGAAAATAACTCGATTCCCTTTTACCGTGACCGGGGACGCGAACGATGTCTCGATCGTCGATTTTCGACCGACGAACAGGCTGCTCGGGGTCGGGGACCCGTGCAAAAGGAGATCGCGGTTACGAAACGCGGCGGTTTTGCAACCGTCGTTTACGTATCGCTCGTTTCGCGTCGAACAAAAACATGGATCGTGTTTACGGCGAGGAACGAATCGTGATTAGAACAGCTCCCTCCTTGCTTGCCTCGCCTCCTCGCGATTAATATGCCGATCGTGAATCATTATTCGAGGGAACGTGTTTTTATTCTACGTACGACTCGTAAATAGTTCGATGAAACTCGTTCCCTCGCGTTAGCCTCGTGAAACCGATGGAAATTTTCTCGGCAAACATTGCAGGCCTCGAACGAGGAAAATTTCTACTTTTCGTCGTTCCTCTTTTTTTCCTCCGCATCCGTACGTTTGTTTTTGTCGTCGGCACGCGTCGATCGCGAAAGAGGCGAGACGGATGAGAGCGTTCCGATCAACCGATCGAATCGAGAATCGAATCGAATAGGATGGAACGTAAATTAGCGAGGACAGGAACGGGAGGCTCGCCTTGAGAACGCGATGCGGAGATAAATTTTCATAACGCGTGGAATTTTTGACTTCGAAACGTGCGTCGACCGCGCGTTTTAACGAGTCGCGCCTTCGAGCACGCGGCCACGCGATTGGTCGATACAACGCGTAAACACGTTCTTTGCATAATTACGATCTCTTTGCGATTACGTATCTCCTAAGGACGGCCAGTGTCGTTCGCGTATATATAAAAGGTTACGGTCAGCGAGAAAGCTCGTGTATTCCCTGAAACGGTGGAGGCGCGATGAAAACGGAATTCAAGGTACGTGAACAACGAGGCGACCCCTTTGGTCGCGCTTATTCGCTCTTCCGGTCCATCGAATTCGTTTCGTTTCAGTACTTAACGGGCTTTGGCTGCGAGTTTTCCAGCGAGGACGAGCGTTGCCCCGGCGCTCTGCCCGTCGGCCAAAACAATCCTCAAAAGTGTCCTTACGGTCTGTACGCGGAGCAACTGTCCGGTACGGCGTTCACCGGTAAGTTCGCGTCGCGTCAGCGACATCTCGAATTCGTATACGATCGGGTTCGTCGAATTTTCAGCTCCTCGATCTCGAAACAAACGTTCTTGGTTCTATCGGATCAGACCGTCGGTCGTCCATCGTCCGTTCGCGCCGAT